TTTGATAATTGACTTTGAAGTTTGATTATTCCCACCATTCGACTGTTGTGATAGAGACTCTATTAGTACCCGTCTTTGAAGTTTTCCTTATATAGTCATTCGAGTTTTATAGAAGTGAAACTTCTAGTTCTACTATGATTTCGGCACTATAAGTGAAGGATAAAAATGTCTCCTGTTGGCTGTAACTATGATAATAGTTGAAGGACCAAAAGTGTCTCTTTTGCAATAGTTAGAGGACTAAATGAGGAAAAATTCATAGGCAACGACCAAAAATTACTCTCTCACACTAGTCGGAGAACTATTAGTGGCAAAAACTCTGGCTAAATATTTTTTAAGGTTGGTACAGTTTGCAAATTGAAACTCTAGTTGTCAAAGTTTGTCTTTGTTGAAGAATGGGGACATAACTAGTTGTTGAAGCAGGATCTGTACCTGGTGTTACATTTGATGAGATGAAGCTTGAGATTAAGTTGGGTGTTCCACGGTCTCTCCAACAATTGCTAGATATTGACAAGGTCAAATCAGTCTTTCCATAGTAAGTAAATATTGTAACCATACCTGGCTTAAGTGCTTTACAAACATAGTTTTCTCAAGTAATAAGTGTGAACGATACGGGCATTTATGTTTCCTTTCATCTGTAGACCATATACACAATAATCCTCACCAAAATTAACAGATATCGACAGAAAATAAAAGTAATACTGAAGTTGATATTACTTAATAATGCTTGGTGAATTTTTGCTTATTAGTAAATTCTGAACGGCCTTCTATGGGCCCTCATCTTGGGGAGACGCTAGAACGTGTAGTTGTGTGACCGAGAGGTCACGGGTTCATGTCTTGGGAACGGCCTCTTGTCAAAAATAGCCAAAGCAAGGCTTGCTCCTGTATACTTGTTGTGCACCATGCGGCACTTTTTTTTAGCTAGTTTCAAAATGCAAAATGACGTAAAAGATATGCTTACTATAAATTTAAAATAACAATAGACTGATTAAATGAGTTTGAACTTATCAAATAAGTTCACGACCAAAAACGTCTTAGTCGAAAAGCCTTTTATTAAAAAAACAGTAGCCAACATATAAGCTATCTTCAGGCACACTTGCATAGCCATAGTGTTTGTTGAGTATTAGCTATCAAGCTAGTTTGATTTACATAGACACCTAAAAAACATAGGTTTAAATTTAAATCTAAAATAAAAACTGGGTTAAATGAAAAACGTTCATGTAAATAAGAGCTTATGAGTATAAGTTCATACTTATCAAATATGTTGTTGAACCAACATAGCTTAGTTATATAGCTTTCTTAATAAATAATAAGAGCTTATAACTATCTTATAAGCTTATTTGTGGAGCGGCGAACATAATTATGGTATTTTTCTGTGTGAAGGACATATCTTCTAATCATCAAATCTTGAACTTCTAAAGTTATAATTGTGCGATGTTTGTTTTTATGACTTCAAATAGCGGCAAAATAATGAACATTGAGGTTGTTGATGGTGGACTGATATGTTCAAGTGGTGTACACGTTGAAGAGATGGGAGATAAGAATGATGACTGTTATATAGTAAATGCAGCGGTTTATGTTGGTTACTGATCTCTTACACTGTAAATATAGGTTAGTTCTGCTATTCCTTCTTGTTCACTATGTGCCATCTTCATATGAAATGAAATTGAATACCTGTCATTTCTGTTTTCTTTTGTTTTTTCTTTGGGACGCACCTATTAATCGAATATTGCATTTTAGGAATTTGGACTCAAACTCCTAATGTTTATACTGGAAAGTGGAAATATGGTAAAAGATCTAGCTGTCAATTGTGTTAGACTAAAGCACTTATTTTTTAAATATATAATTGTGTTGAAGGATCTAAGAATAGGAAACTAAAAATAAATTAATTACTGAAATACTAATAATCCAAGGTTAGTCGTTGTCTTCCAATAGAGAAATTTGGGATTTTTTTAACTTAGTCAATTGAGATTTGTTAGACTTCCACATTGACAAATTAAAGAGTGGAAATTTAATTAGCAAGACTTGGTTGAACTAACTAAAAGATTGGATTCAATCATTTGGTATGGTTCGACACCCGTGTCTTATAGCCCCCCAATTCAATCATAAGGCCTGCTTAATGTATCAACGTGTGACGTTTTTTTTCAAGGTGCCAACTTTCAACCCAAGCTCCACCGTGGACGTTTAGTGGAAGGTCTGAATATAAAGTTGCCCATCTAACTCATTTAAAATGCACAACCATTTTCATGTGGGCTTGGGCTTGGGCTTGGCCCTAACCAGCAATATCATACTAATTTGGTGTGAATGTCAGGCCTGTGGTCCAAATACACCTTTGGACTCATCATGTATGATTGACTTTCTCTCTGACTTTTTTGCTTGCCTAGTGTGGCATCTCATCTTCATCCATGATGGTTTGGTGAATCCTCTCCCTATTTAGTAATGAAACTTTGCCCGTTTTTTGTTAAAGTGCTGCGTATATTAGGTTCTTTTCCAGGCTACATAAGTTGGTTTTGCTGATTATTTTGAAGATGTTGATTGATTCAGTGTGAGAAAATAGCAAGAATCTCATGTGTGGGCATAATGAAGTATTGGAAAATGGAACATCTTTCATTCTTTTGATTATGTTCATATATGGCTTGTGCTACACCAATGATGAAACTATAGTCAAACACTTGATTAAAAAAATCAAATAACCAATGCTGCCGTTGGAAATATTGAACCCTTTACTTTGCATTGATTGAATATATCAGTTTACTTTGAGGCTGGCAGATGGTATTTTTGAGTGACTTTTGTATTTGCCACTGTTTATAATTCTGGACAGTTCAAACAATTACACATAAGAATGTCATTTGGAATGTTAAAAGGAAAAAATACAGTTCCCCTAGCATTTCTGATAGTAGTTAGTTTACATCTGAACATGCCACGTGATTTTTACAGAATGATGAATGATCCACAAAAATGAAAAATAAAAACAAGAGCTAATAAATAGGAGGAAGAGAAGGAGAATAATGTGTACTAAAAAAATCTTCACCGGGATAGTAGAGAAGCATAAAGAAGGTGGTTCCAAGTATCAGGGAGTCCAGGAAGGCACCAATGGCTGCAATCCAGTCCTGGGTGTTTTCCGCTGAAATAGGAAGGGTGTGCGTCTGGCCTTAATTGTGATAGAAGAGTGATATCGAGCAGATAAATGGGATTTGGGATTCCTGCCAACACATTGTTCACCACAATTGCAGGTTGGGGTGCTGCGGCTGGATACGTTGATCCTTGTACTGGCACTTCCTCGCCACTGCAGGTCTTGTTTGCTTTCGAACCCCACTCACTACCCCTGTTTATTTACAGGAATTAATGATATGGATTATGGATGATAAAATGCTCGTATGTGTAGGACTGTAGGTAACTAAAGCTCATGTCTGTTTTTGTGTGTATTGTATGTTACATCATTGACTCTTTTACACGTCTGGATCACTACCTAGGGGCAGAACAGGTGGTTCTGGGTCTGTCAAGGGCCGAACCCACGTCATGAAAATGGGTTTAGTCTGATTTCAATTCATGGTTGGTCCCGGCCCCTGGCATCTACTAGATTCCTCAGCCTATTTAAGAAAGAATGAGGCCTGAATCAGAACCACAACGGGCTGATTTTGGAATAAGTGGAATCAAAACTGGCTTAAACTAGTTTCAGTCTGTAATCTCTAAACCGGTTGCCATTTTGGTTTTTTTACCTGTCTGGTCCCACATAATCCTACTCATGTGTTCATAGGATTTTTCACTAGGAGCTGATTCAGTTTTAAATCAGATTTAAACAGATCACACCTAATCAATTTAGACATGTCCACCAAATTAGATCAAACCATTTCGAGTAAAAATATTCTCATTCGCATGCGTGTTTAAATCAAATTATACGTGTTTAATACGGAGTATAATGTATTAGAGGTTATAATTTATAAAGCAGTGGTGGACTCGGGCCGGGCCTAGGCCCGACCGGGCCGCCGGTTAGGAAATGTTGGGCCCGGGACCGGCCCGGGTAGCCACCGGGTCCGGGCCTCGGGCCTCTTACATTTTTTTCCCTTTTTCTAATTACCCCCTGACCCCCCTAACCCCCCAAACCACCCCAAATGGCCCAAAATACCCAGCCCAACCCGAGGATTTAAAAAAAAGTTGAAAAAAAAACCCGGAACCAGGCCCGGATTGGCCGGGCTGGTTCATATTTTGGGTGACCCGAGCCTGGACCGGAAACCCCTCGGGCCAGGCCTACCCGGACCGGTCACTGGCCGGGTCGAAACAGTGTTGACCGGGCCGGTTCCGGGTCGGGCCACCCGGCCTGAGTCCACCACTATTATAAAGTAATTATCGTCTAACTTTGGGAAAACTGTCAAATAGGTCCTTGAACTTTCATAAAAAGGTCAATTAAGTCCTATAGAAGGTTCTGTCCGGCCGTCGCGATTTGGGGCAGTTCCCGATGGAATTTTTTGATGAATTTTTTTTAAGCATCTTATTCATCAAGTCTAGTTTACTCATACCAAAATTCAGCTAAAAATTCAATCGGGAACACATTCAAATTAATTCTTGAAGATAACTGCGCATTTTTGCGTTCTCGAATTAATTTGAATGCGCTCCCGATTAAATTTTTAGCTGAAACTTGGTATGAATAAACTAGACTTGATAAATAAGATGCTCAAAAAAATTCATCAAAAAATTCCACCGGGAACCGCCCCAAATCGCGACGACTGGACAAAGTCTCCTATAGAAGGACTTAATTGACTTTTTTATGAAAGTTCGAGGATCTATTTGACAGTTTTCCCTCGTTTTAGTAGTTACTAAAATGTTTGTTGATCAAAATACCATCTCCGATTTATGCTCTGTTCAAAAAGTGTATTGAAAAAACATAAACACGGAAAATTATTCACATAAACTGGTGTGGAAGAAGTACTTCCTCTTTGATACTTCATAAGTTGGTAATACGAAACTACGAATTAGGATTGATTATTGGAAGTTTAAGTGCTTACAGATAATGAGAAGGAGAAATTCCTTGGAAGAAGACTTTGGTCTTGTCAGGTTTGACATTGTCAACAACCCAGTTTCTCCAAGTTGTGAATGCTTTCTCGAATGCTTTCAAACGGTCCATATCTGGCACCATATGTGTAGAATCTACTTGTATAAAATCCCATCTGTCAAACCCACCAAAGAAAAACCTATCAATCTATCATTTTTACATAATGAACCAATGAACTTTGTAACGCTTACCATATTTGATTCTGCATAATAATTGTGATCTAATCAAAATAGTAATGATGAAATTATTTTCTTTATTGAGTTTATTAAATTCCTAAACAATAATGTTTTGGGTTGAATTTTTTAATTGACTTTTACTATTTAACATAGTCAAACAACTATTTTCAGACTTAGATAAACTGTCTTTTGATATAATTTTTTATGCGAAAACTAATTTTGTAAAAGTTGATGGATTTTAAAAGCTTTTTCATAACATCTTTTTATGCAATAAAAGTAGCCCCCTTTTAATGTTCAAACGTTTCCCTATATTTTTACTTCTTTGGATGATTATTAAATATTTTTTAAAAAAATTAAGACTTCGTGTAAATTAACACAACAATAACACTGTAATCGAACAATAAAAATAGCATTAAGGATGGTGTCGTTTTTTTTTCCTAAAGTAGTAAACAAAATAGTAATATAATATCTCAATGATACGAAAAGTAAATGAATATGGGTGTATTAAAATAATTGTAAATGTATTTCTATTTTTGAAACACGTATAAAAAGGCGTATAAACATAATATTTGACTTTAGTCTATTTCTACTACAAATCTAACTTATTATTTAATATTTTTCATAGAATATTATTCAATTCTCTTTTATCTGTTATTTGTAATCAATATTTTATTTATATTCTCTTTTGTTCGTTATAATAGAGGTTTGGAAGTAGTGTTAGTAATACTACTTCAAGTATTAATACAAAGTATATGATCATTATTTTAAAGTAGCCAATATTTATAAATTATAATTTGAACGGGTGACATACTAATTAGTATACAAGATATATGTTTATAAAATCATATTTATGTATATAAGTATATTCAAATAAAAGTTAGTACTAATATTTACATATCTTTTTATATCTAATCCAGTATCTTATCCTATCAAATTATACTACGTATGAGATATCATATCGATTTATAAGTTAAAAATTATTCTTATACTTTGTATTAACATTTAATGTAGTATTACTAAAACCAAAATGGAACTAAAATAATTATATACAAGTATTTATTACTAATGTAAAGATTATGGACAAAAATGCAACCTCTTATATATAGTGACTAAGTTAGTTTCAGTCATAATAATCATGTCCAGTTTTATCCTATATTGATCATGATATTACATGCATGAATTGTTGTTTTAGAAGCTGTTCTCTTCGCCTGATCTGAATGTTTCTGATCTGAATTTTTTAAGTTCTGATCTGATCTGATCTGAATTTTTCTGATCTGATCTGATCTGATCTGAATCTTTCTGATCTGAATCTTTCTGATCTGATCTGATCTGATCTGATCTGAATCTTTCTGATCTGATCCGAATGTTTCTGATCTGGTCTGATCTGATCTGAATGTTTCTTATCTGATCTGAATTCTTCTGATCTGATCTGAATCTTTCTGATCTGATCTGATTCGAATATTTCTATAATTTTAATTATAATTATAATTATTGTAATTGCAATTACAAATATAATTTAAATAAAATTATAATTATAATCGTAACTATAAAAATAATAATAATAATAATAATAATTAAAATTAAATTTAAAATGAAAAAATTTATAGTTATTACACTAATTATAAATATAGATATAATTATAATTGTAATTATATTTTTAATTATAATTACTTATATAATTATAATTGTAATTATAATTACAATATTTATCTCTATAATTGTAACTATAGTTATCAATATTATTATAATTACTCCGTAAAATAATTACAATAGTAATAATAATAATAATAATATTAATAATTATAATCATAAATTATAATTATAAGTATAATTATAATTATTATAATTATAATTAATAATAATTATAATTATATTAACATTAATTATAGTATTATAATATAATAATAGTAATATAAATACAATTAATATTATAATAATGATATTATTATATTCATATTATTATTACAATAATATAATAACAATAATATGATTATTATTATTATAATTAGTATTATATTATTATAATATTATATTATAATTATAATTATAATCATAATTATAATTATGATTGTAATTATAATTATAATTATTATAATTATAATAATTACAATTATAATTATAAATATTTATAGATATAACTATAATAAATACAATTGATTATACTTATAATTATAAGAATTATAATTGTAATTATAATTATAATTACATATAATTATAATATAATATTATATTAACATTAATCATATTATTATTATATTGTAATAATAATAATAATAATAATAATAATGATGATGATGATGATGATGATGATGATGATGATGATGATGATGATGATGATGATGATGATGATGATGATGATGATGATGACGACGACGACTACGACTACGACGACGACGACGACGACGACGACGACGACGACGACGACGACGACGACGACAACAACAACAACAACAACAAGAATAATAATAATAATAATAGTCTTCTTAATAATTACATTTATATTACTATTATTATATTAAAATATTATAACTATTATTAATATCTTATTTTTGTTATCATATTATTATTAATATTATTAATAATTATTATATAATAATAATAATCATAATTGTAATAAAAATATTAATAATAATAATTAATATAATAATAAAAGTGATAAATCATGTTTAAACTTTTCTGATCTGATCTGAATGTTTCTGATCTGATCTGAATGTTTCTGATCTGGTCTGATCTGATCTGAATCTTTCTGATCTGATCTGAATCTTTCTGATCTGATCTGATCTGATCTGAATCCTTCTGATCTGATCTGACCTGATCTGAATTTTTCTGATCTGATCTGATCTGATCTGAATTTTTCTGATCTGATCTGATCTGAATAAAATAAGAATAAGCAATAAGTAAAAAGAATAAGACGAACAGAACAGAACCTTAGTTACATTTTTTTTATAATTTTAATCATAATATTTTTTTAGAAAATACCTCATTTGAATATAAATAAAATATTGATGAGAAATAAAAGATAAAAGAGAATTTGTTTGAGTTTTATCAAATATTTTTACAAAATCTTATAAAAATATTAGCTATTAAATTTAATTTATAGAAGAAATAAGTTTAAGGACAAAGATTATTATGAATGCATATATATATATATATATATATATATATATACACATATATATATGGCTAAAAGGTCAAATAGGTACAATAACTAACTTAAAGTGTTCAATTAGCCCCTTATATAGGAGGTTCTGCCCGGCCGTCGCCAATTGGGGCGGTTCCCAGTTGAATTTCTTGATGAAATTTTTTGATCATCTTCTTCGTTAAGTCTAGTTTACCCATATCAAATTTCAGCTAAAAATTAAATCGGGAAGGCAGTCAAATGATTTTCCGAAATGTATTGCGCTGTGTAACTGCGCAGTTATCTTCAAAAAATCATTTGACTGCCTTCCCGGTTGAATTTTTAGCTGAAATTTGGTATGGGTAAACTAGACTTAATGAAGAAGATGCTCAAAAAATTTCATCAAAAAATTCCACCGGGAACCGCCTCAATTGGCGACGGCCGGGCAGAACCTCCTATATAAGGGGCTAATTGAACACTTTAAGTTAGTTCATGTACCTATTTGACCCTTTAGCCTATATATATATATATATATATATATATATATATATATATATATATATATATATATATATATGGAGCGGATCAGGTGAGAAGTGTTCTTAGGCTGAGAAGTGCGAAGTTAAACTTATAGACTAAATATAGGAACTTTTAACCAATAAACCATAACTTATAGACCCCTCGAAAATAATTATGAAAATGCCACCGCAAAAAAATAATTACAGAAACCGGGAAAAAGAATTGACGCGGTGGCAATTTCGTAATTATTATGGAGAGGTTTATAAGTTATGATTTATTGGTTATAAGTTCCTATATTTAGTCTATAAGTTTACTGCGTTGTAAGATCAGATGCAAATCCAAGGGCTGAGATTACTTCTCACTTCTCATTTTAAGGGGCACTTCTCACCTGATCTTTTCCCTATATATATATTCTTTTTTATATTCAAATTGAAAAAAAAAACATAAATAAAAATTATCATAGATAACTGCAGGTTTATTTTTGTTAAACAATTATTTAGTTCGATTTTGTAGTGAACTTTTCTTGTAGAGATTATTTTTGTTAAGCATAAATGTAAGGACTAAGGATTATTTATGTCAATTTCATTTTAATAAAATATATTTAAATATTCTATTTTTAAATTTGATGTGTCCGGCCATACTTTAAAAATGCAAGTAGCTAGATTCAACTGGTTTTGCATTATCAAATGAACTCCTGATGAATGTAATAGGGAGGATCCATAAAAACAATTCGGAATTGAAATAGGAAGGAAAGGGGATCTGACGGTTGAGACGTTCCGGTGTGAGTCCACCAGTGCCAAGTGTTGAAGATCAGCACATCCATTGTTTTCCAAAGTGCAGCACCGTCTTGGTCAATGGACTCCAATTTCAAGACCCTGCCTTTCTTTTCACGTACTATATCCACCAAGTTAGTTGAGTGATACAGATATAATGTCACTCCATAATCCTGCAAGATGATATATGCACAAACACGATGTAAAAACCTCGCAAACTACTCGATTATAATTTAGTGTTGATTATGTAAATTCTTATACTACGGGCCCGTTTGGCAGTACGAAAATCGGTTGTTCTAGCTTATTCTGCTAAAATTTATGAAATTCTAGTTGAAGTGGCTGCATTGGCTGATTCTGCTGTTTTAAGAAAAAATTATTTTTAAAATATATTTTATTAATAAAACAAAGAAAACATTATGCCCATGATGGTAACAATCAGCAGTCTTCATCAACAGCGATAATCCCGGCCGGCGAGCAGAACGAACAACGTGAGTGGCCACCGCTCATGGCCGAATCCTATGACGAGGAAATCAGTTTTATGGCAAACCTCTTTGGAGCCTCGCCGTCTTCCGCATCAACGGCATCAAAGGTAATGGTGAACAACATGAGCGGACCCCAAAATATAAATAAGGAGGATGGGTTGGAGGCGGATGAAAACTGGAGCAGCTACTTAGTGTGTGACTAGAGCTTCTAACCTGAATCATTCAAAAACTGGTTTCTATTGTAGTAATGTAACATGCATGACTTTAATTTGGGTAAAAAAAAAGTGGTACTATATGCTCAAATAACAAATTCATATGGAATTAGTAATAAAATAGTTAAAATAGTCATCTACAGTAACTTCAGCAAATACAGTCAGAAAAGTAACTCTAACCTTACTTTTTTGGCTTATAAGCCGAAAAACAGTGTTGCCAAATGACTCTACGTAAGTGATCGATATTAGGGTGTTAATCAAGTGATATTAATAGAATCAGTTGAAATTGATGAAATTTTGACATTGATGATATTAGGGTGTTAATAAAGTACGGAGTAATATTTTTCAAAGGTGTGATATTAAGGTGGTGTACAAGATATAAATAGTCTAATATTCAAATGTAAATACTACGGAGTATCAACCAAAAAAAGTGCAAGACATTTCTTATAAATGTCATGCATAGACGCCATGTTGTTATGGAAGCATCACAATATTTTATTAACACATCCACAAAAACATAGACCCGAATCCCCGATATGATTTACACCTTTGAAAGACTAATTAAACACGGATCAGACCATACTAGACCAACAGATTACTGTCCAAGTAAAAACATCCTTATACTCACCCCTAGGACTACTAGATCGGGAGCATCTAATAGCATTGCTCCCCTAGCTTTCCTTTCTTAAAGTCTAAGAATTTACCATCAATTCATTTAGTATTATCTTTTTTCAAAGATAGTTTATCACGTTTATATTCGTAGTTCAAACTTCAAAGGTTGCGTTAATCCTAACAAGGAAAATTTACTAAAAGCTCAAATAAAATTAATTGTATTTCTTTTTAATGCACATAAACAAACATATGAGAATAATTGATATGAATACGGATTATTACATTTAAAAGATTAACATAAAATATGCAGTATTTTACATAATTAAAGTAAAGAATATTTTGAAACATAAATTTGGACGGAAGCTACTAATAGTTTGGAAGTATTCATATATTGGCACTTTTTTTGGCCGTCCTCCCACTTCTTGGCTTTATCAGAGGAATCATTATGCCACTAATCATCATGCAATTCATACTAGCACTGAAATTACGGATTAGAATACTCTCCTAATTAAACAGAAAAGAAAACGAAAGAATGAGAGAGAAAACAAGCCACATGGATCACCACACAAATGCCTTGACACCTGTCAATGATTTGGCCCACCACACCACATAATTTGATTTATTGTTGTATAATGTATACTCCCTCCGTCCCAAAAAATAATTCACACTTTGACTTGACACGTTTATTAAGAAAGTAAGAATAAAATAGAAATGAATGATTGTAGTTGAGTAAGAGAAAAGAAATTTAATATTAGCCACATAAAACTTTCCAAAAAAGGAAATGAGAAGAATTTTTTGGGACATTCCAAAATGGTAAGTGAGAAAAATTTTGTGGGAGGAAGTATTCAATTCTCATCCCTTTAAAAATTTCTAAGATTTTAAGGAATTGAACTCGAATTTTTTATATTGTCAAATGCCTATTTCATTGAGGACTAAACTAATAGGAAAATGGTTGAAGTATACATGTTTTATCTTTATAGTAGCAAGTAATTCATAAGGATTAGCATATGTACATGCGATTTCTCTTTATTGGAGTAAGTTATTTCTAAGAGAGATTACTCCCGAAGACTCTTATATGTGCACTTTGGATGATTTTTACTCCAAGCATAGACAGAGCAAAGTATGAAAAATTCTAGAAATAAGAGTAAAAACTTCTGACAATTCCAAAATAGGTTTATCATGTTTCTATTCTTTAAATAGGAGCTAGTAACTACCGTCAAACTCGAAAATCACTGCCATGTTAGAAGTCACATGACACTAATTACTCCTGCTAATGGAATTAAGGATGACAATTCTATTTTAAAATAGAAACGTTGTTGTTGATATTTATGGCAATTCCTTAACAAAGTACAGAATATAACTAAAGTATAAAGATACATTAGAATATAAGAAAACTTACCAAAAAGGTTACATTGGGAGTGGGTGCGTCCCTGTGATAGGAGATATTGGCGGGTTGGGGTAGGGAGGAATGGAGTATGCAGGCCATGGACTGCCACATGTTAAGACTCAGTGAGTCACCCACATACATTATCTTCTTCCCCTTCCATCTTCTCAACAAATCCACACCATTAAACCTGCATTCCCATTTATATAACGGAATATTGAAACATTTCTCATCTGAGAAGCACGCAAATCCCAAACAACGGTAAATGCGAGAAATTAAACGTAATTTTTCATAGATATATGCAGTCGATTTAGTCAATTTCAGTATTATCAAACAAATTCTAAATCACAACACCGGGTAAAATGCATTAATGATACATTAACTGTTGATATTGTTGCGTTTTGATACTTTAACTCTTAAATGAATCAAATGAGTATCATAATTGTGCATAAATTATGGTCGCCATTTATGATTTTTTGGTCACAAATTTGAATAAAAGTGCAAGTTGAAACATTTATGTATAACTATAATACTGATTTGATTCATTTAAGAGTTGAGGTACAAAAACTCAACAATACTAAAAGTAAGATATCATTTATGCATTTCGCCTCGTACCCAATCACAAGAAGCGAAGGATACTATACTTGGGAAAGTTGCAAGAACCGGCGGCAGGTTTCCAAGCATATGACAAGAACTTGGTATCATGGCGGCCATATCGAATGCAGTCGAATTGAGGGTCAATGAAGGGGCAGTTTGAAGATTTGTACAGAGGGTATGATGCGTCCTGCACCCATTGCCCTTCAAACAGGTTACATCCGCCGCCGCCGCCACCGCTGTTAACTGTAACTTTATGTGCTTCCGCCACCGCTCTCGTTTGAGCAGCAGCAGCTGCTACCAATTGCGCCACCGAAATGATTGTCATTATCATAACAAACAGGTTACTCATACTGACCTCTTTTTTCGGGCACAATTTATGCTAAAATGACTCTTTCATTGAAGATAATTGATATGAAGGACTATGGAATGGCTTAGCTATAACTTCTGATCTATCCCGTCTTATATTCACATTTTCATCTTTAGTCTAACAAAAAAAATGTTGACTTTTTCTAGCTAGTTGAATTCTACTAAGTTATAATTCTTCAATTATATCTATATATCATTTTACTTTTTATAGATACATAATATAATACCGAGTACATAATACATACTCCGTACTACGTAGTATTTGCTTTTTTAATAAGGTTAAAGTTGTTATGTAACAAATGTTTTTGTAATGCAACTTCCTTTATGGGATGAACGGAGTTTTCTCCATTACATTTTCACCAAATAATTTTTTTATGCAACATTGAGTTATTTTATTACATTTAAAAAACAAAGCATGTATATGTATTCTAAACATTTTGGTTGAAAATTGATAAAGCTCGTGTGAAAACTTAAAAGTACCTTTTTAATATTTTTCTAATAATTTCTATGTACTTTTCCACCAAGGTCCATTAGCGGCGCCTAGGATTCTCCTCATCGCATCACAGTGGTGAAGGCCTAGGTTCCACGGCGGCTGCGGACCTAGCACGTCTAGGTTTATCGGCGGGCGGCGCTATAGCTTTCTTGGCGCTTTAGTGTCCCGGATTTTGCTAGTTTTTTTCCTCATCTGGAGGAAGGGGTGGAACGCGGGTGCATTCAGGCTCGGAGAATATTGACGAATCTCAATTGCAGCACAGGGGAGATGACATGGATCTGGAGATTGTTCGCGTTTGTACTGGTGGTGCTTGTGTGGTGTCTTGGCCAAGAGATGGAGGCGAATCATGTGCAAATCAAGGTGTTGAAGGAAGAAGATGAAGTGATGAAGATCCGCCCCCCTCCTTAACTGCCGCCATGCCGGAAAGGGGTGACTAAGGATCGGAACATCGCGCTGGAAGATTGGATTCAGCCGCTCAATAAGTTCATTGTGCTAAGTTTCGTTTTTCCCATTTTTAGACTTTTTACTATGAAATTTGTTGCTGTCGGTTTGTGTTTTGTTTTTGCTTATGGTTGTAGGTTTTTTACGTTGACCGAGGGTTCGGCTAGATTTGATATTGTTGGTGGGGGACGGATCTATTTTTTCAGCAGTAACTGTATTAAGCTCGTCTGGTGGTTAGCAATTCATATTGCTCTTTTAGGGGTGGTCGTCTATGTGTCTAATCGTAGGGCTAATAGTAGTAGTTGGAAAGCGAAGTGTGCTGTCAGTTCTGGTCACTTTGAGATTGATGTAACGATCCTGATTCTAATGATATCAATATAGTCGTTGTCCTTTAAAAAAATGTACTTTTCCAGCAAAATATACTTAACCCAAATTTTCCTATACGGAGTATCAATATTCAGAGCCCGTTTGGTAACATTAAAATTGGCTGTATTGGCTGATTCTGCTGAAATTTATGAAGTTCAGGTTGAAGTGGCTGTATTGGCTGATTCTGTTGATTCATGAAAAAATTATATTTAAAAAATAATTTGTTATTAATAAATAAAATAAAAAACTATATGAAAAAATAGCTAAAATGATCCTCTACAGTAACTTCAGCCAATCCAGCCAAAAAAGTAACTACAACCTTACTTTTTCTGCTTATTACACAATTTAGTGCGCGAAATTAAAAATTACGTGTTTGATGAAAAAAGGCTGATAAGTCTAATAAGCCGAAATGAGATGTCACCAAACGGGTCTCATTTTCCGCATCCATTCATGTACAAGATTGCAGAGCCTTTTCCCATATAAACTTTGACCACGATGATTGGAACAGCTGGGTAGTCTTAATTTGTTAAGGAAAAAACTAATACTCCGTATTTAATTAAAAGATATACACAAAAGAATCTTTTGATTCGTTCCAATCATTTCAGTCAAAAATGTTATAATGTTTGAGTTACTAGTTATTTTAGCTTAATAAAATATATTATATGATCTCGGAAGTCGTAATCACATATGGACGATTTTCTAACGTTAAGCAAAATACCACATGCAATAGATGAGTGCTGTTCTACAACGATTATTTTAATTCTATCCAATTTATATGTACACACACATATTTGTGGGTGTTAGAAGTTCGAAAAATATTTTATACGATATTTGGTTCAAACTATTTTCTAAATTCACAGGAATATGTATTTTCTATAAGATGTGTTCATTAATATTTAATGAACTTCAAATGGAGGGACTAGCAAGGGTTATATGTACTAATACTCCGTATTAACTACTGAAGTATTCTATCCTAAATAGTTTAAGTAAATTATACCGAGTATATATGTAAAAAGTATTAAATCTTTATATGTATATATATATATATAGAGAGAGAGAGGGAGTAGTGGACAATCAAATACGTAGTAGAAATCTATTTGGAGCCAAAAGAAGTGAAAAAATGTTGTCTTTTTTTTAAACCCTGAAGGCAAACCACCAAAATCAGAGGGGCAAATGTCGGGGAACATTTGCCGTTATTTTATTAAATAAGAATTAAGAACAAAAGGGGGGGGGGGGGCTGGACCAATACCTCCCCTCAAAGGCATTCATCTGAAAATACATGATCGAAAAAACAAAACCGAGATTACATCTGAGAGGGACTATACCAAAACCTCTCAGAAAATAAACATCACAACAAAGAAAATTAATATCTGAAGTAGGGATAGCCAAGTAGATCTGACAAATAATAATTACGGGCCAACCCTGGAAGAGAATCCACTGAATGAAAATAATTAATCTGTTCCGTCACAATTTCTCGGCCTGCTAGCATATGGGACGTCCAATTACCCTCTCTAAAGGTATGGCTAAAAGAAATTCCTTTTTGGGATGCCTGAAATTGAACCGAACAAATTAGGCTATTCCACTTCCCATCTTCATCCCCACCAGACAGCTTCAACAAAACAGCCATCGTCACTCTCCACCTGAAAATCCTCATGCCCCTTCTCTATTGCCCATTCAGTCGCTCGTTTAATCGCATGGAGCTCAGCTTCTTCACTGGATGTTGCTCGGATTCTGGAGTTTATTTCCCATACCAATTCACCTTTTCTATTCCCTAAGATAGCTCCCCCTGCTGCAAAACCAGGTATATACGCAGCATCTACATTGAGCTTGAATTCCTTTGTTGGCCTTTTCCATTTGACGAGCTTAAATCCCGAATTAGTGAATTTGAAACTATAATGAATCAGACCCTCCTCTCTGAGAAAATCATCAATTTTACTGCTTTTACATTTGTGAAGATTTGCTGACCAACATTGCGTATGATGTTTAATCTGATAAATAATCTGGTCTGATGTCAGTAGAGGTTCAGCACCCCAAATATAAGCAGCATAAGATTTCCATATGAACCAGCATAAAACCCTAGGCATAATATGTTTAAAACTATCAACCAAAGTCTTGGAGCCCGCTTCCAACCACCATTGAAAGAAAATATGTCTAAGAGTATATCCATCCCTGGGAACAGAAATTTGAAAGAGTGTCATAAAGTATCTCCAAATTCTTTGAGAAAATTAACACTGATAGAAGAGATGATTAGGAGTATCATAATATCCTTTACAAAAAGGACATATAGAAGGTCTCAGGACATACTGGATTCTCATTAAAGTATCAGAAATTGGTAAACAGTTGTTAAGAACTCTCCAACTGAACACTTTAATCTGCATAGGTTGATTATTATGCCATATGTGCTTATTTGAGAAAGTAGGCAGCTGAACCTCCCTAACTTCATTATAAGCAGATGCTAGGTAAAAGTACCTTCTTTACCAGGATCATATCCCAAACTAGCAAACCATTCTCATTAATGTGGCAAAGATCCCCAACCTCTTGATCAATACTACAAATTCTTCTCCAAATAGGAGAATCCGTAATCTTTGGCTCCATATTAGCTTTGGGATATCTAGCTTTAAATAATTTAGTCCAAAGGGAGTTATGGGTCTTCCATTTCCACCAAAGCTTCATAGAATAAGATTTTTCAAGTGCAGCAAGGGATCTAATCCCCCAACCCCCTTCCTCAGTAGGATAGCATAGATTTGACCATTTGACCCAGTGAATTCTGTGATTATTATATGAAGAACCCCAAATAAATGCTGCCATTTTTTTTCTAGAATATTAATCACTGACCTTGGAAGAGTATCTGCAGCCAGGATGTGAAGGGGAATGGAACTCAGTACATGTTTGACCAAGATAAGCCTTCCTCCTTGAGTTAAGGGTTTTTGCTTCCATGCAGTAAGCTAAGTCTATCATCAAACTGTTTTATAATGTGATGACAATAATGTATTCTATTTATTCCCTTATGCAGATTCACCCCCAGGTACTTCATAGGGAGTTCATATTTGTTCATCTTCAAAAGATCCTGAATCACAGAAGCTTTGGATAAAGCTTGTTTGCCACATATGAAAGAACTTTTATGTAAGTTTACAGTTTGCCCAGATGCAGCCTGATAATCTTTAATAAAATTATTAAAAAAATTAAAGATCTTGTTCCTCCATTCAAAAAGATCAGAAGGTCATCAGCAAACCCCAAATGAGATATAGGAAAACCAACATTCCCAACCCAGTAGGGCTTAATTTTTCCTTCCCACAATTTAGCCTTTAATCCTTTAGAGAAACCTTTAGAAGCTATAATAAACAAAAAAAGGAGACAAAGGGTCTCCTTGTTTAACCCCCCTCTTGGTCTGAAAAAATCCTTGAGG